CTTACAGTTTAAGGCTCGACATTGTGTTGTCTACGATTAGACAGCTGATAACTCATTCCCGTACGTCGTATGGTCGTAACACTATAATGACCTTTGCTTATTGTCACAAGTGCGCCGCATTCGCGATTGTTGCCCGACGCCTGTTTGCAGGTGAGCCCACTACAGTTGTTATGCATATCTAAAAACCGAAAAACTTTTAGGCGAAAAAGGCACTATTCCAGGCCCATTTTTGATTTTTTTTTTGCGATATTAGGTAAAAACAGAAGCTTCTTATCCTAGGAAAAATAAAATGGGAAATATTTCAAAGGTGGCACACTACCTTTAAACCCTACACATAATACTTTTCCCGCTAGAGGGCAGCAAAGTTCCAGCGACAGATTCGCCGGACCCCTAGGATTCCGCTGAAAATCACTACACAGTGGTAACTTGGGGCGTAGAGTCGCGTGGTGCAATCCGTTAAACCCTACACCTAATACTTTTCCCGCTAGAGGGCAGCAAAGTTCCAGCGACAGATTCGCCGGACCACTAGGATTCCGCTGAAATAGGGGTAATTTGGTCGCCGGACCCCTGGGATTCCGCTGAAAATCACTACATAGGGGTAACTTGGGGCGTAGAGTCGCGTGGTGCAATCCGTTAAACCCTACACCTTATACTTTTGCCGCTAGAGGGCAGCAAAGTTCCAGCGACAGATTCGCCGGACCCCTAGGAATCCTCTAAAAATCCCTATATAGGGGTAACTTGGGGCGTAGAGTCGCGTGGTGCAATCCGTTAAACCCTACACCTAATAATTTTCCCGCTAGAGGGCAGCAAAGTTCCAGCGACAGATTCGCCGGACCCCTAGGATTCCGCTGAAAATCACTACACAGGAGTAACTTGGGGCGTAGAGTCGCGTGGTGCAATCCGTTAAACCCTACACCTAATACTTTTCCCGCTAGAGGGCAGCAAAGTTCCAGCGACAGATTCGCAGATTCCTAGGGGTCCGGCGAATCTGTCGCTGGAACTTTGCTGCCCTCTAGCAGGAAAAGTATTAGGTGTATGGTTTAACGGATTGCACCACGCGACTCTACGCCCCAAGTTACCCCTATTTAGGGATTTTCAGCGGATTCCTAGGGGTCCGCCGAATCTGTCGCTGGAACTTTGCTGCCCTCTAGCGGGAAAAGTATTAGGTGTAGGGTTTAACAGATTGCACCACGCGACTCTACGCCCAAAGTTACCTCTATGTAGAGATTTTCAGCGGAATCTTAGGGGCCGGCGACCAAGTTACCCCTATTTCAGCGGAATCCTAGTGGTCCGGCGAATGTGTCGCTGGACCTTTGCTGCCCTCTAGCAGGAAAAGTATTAGGTGTAGGGTTTAACGGATTGCACCACGCGACTCTACGCCCCAAGTTACCTCTATGTAGGGATTTTCAGCAGATTCCTAGGGGTCCGGTGAATCTGTCGCTGGACCTTTGCTGCCCTCTAGCGGGAAAAGTATTAGGTGTAGGGTTTAACGGATTGCACCACGCGACTCTAGCCCCAAGTTACCCCTATGTAGGGATTTTCAGCGGAATCCTAGGGGTCCGGCGATTCTGTCGCTGGAACTTTGCTGCCCTCTAGCGGCAAAAGTATAAGGTTTAGGGTTTAACGGATTGCACCACGCGACTCTACGCCCCAAGTTACTCGTATATAGGGATTTTAAGCGGATTCCTAGGGGTCCGGCGAATCTGTCGCTGGAATTTTGCTGCCCTCTAGCGGGAAAAGTATTAGGTGTAGGGTTTAACGGATTCCACCACGCGACTCTACGCCCCAAGTTACCCCTATATAGGGATTTTCAGCGGATTCCTAGGGGTCCGGCGAATCTTTCGCTGGAACTTTGCTGCCCTCTAGCGGGAAAAGTATGAGGTGTAGGGTTTAACGGATTGCACCACGCGACTCTACGCCCCAAGTTACCGCTATGTAGGGATTTTCAGAGGAATCTTAGGGGCCGGTGACCAAGTTACCCCCATTTCAGCGGAATCCTAGGGGTCCGGCGATTCTATCGCTGGAACTTTGCTGCCCTCTAGCGGGAAAAGTATTAGGTGTAGGGTTTAACGGATTGCACCACGCGACTCTACGCCCCAAGTTACCCCTGTGTAGTGATTTTCAGCGGAATCCTAGGGGTCCGGCGAATCTGTCGCTGGAACTTTGCTGCCCTCTAGCGGGAAAAGTATTGGGTGTATGGTTCACCGGATTACACCACGCGACTCTACGCCCCAAGTTACCTCTATATAGGGATTTTCAGCGGATTCCTAGGGGTCCGGCGAATCTGTCGCTGGATTTTTGCTGCCCTCTAGCGGGAAAAGTATTAGGTGTAGGGTTTAACGGATTGCACCACGCGACTCTACGCCCCAAGTTACCCCTATGTAGGGATTTTCAGCGGAATCCTAGGGGTCCGGCGAATCTGTCGCTGGAACTTTGCTGCCCTCTAGCGGGAAAAGTATAAGGTGTAGGGTTTAACGGATTGCACCACGAGACTCTACGCCCCAAGTAACCCCTATGTAGAGATTTTCAGCGGAATCCCAGGGGTCCAGCGACCAAGTTACCCCTATTTCAGCGGAATCCTAGTGGTCCGGCGAATCAGTCGCTGGAACATTTGCTGCCCTCTAGCGGGAAAAGTATAAGGTGTAGGGTTTAACGGATTGCACCACGCGACTCTACGCCCCAAGTTACCCCTGTGTAGTGATTTTCAGCGGAATCCTAGGGGTCCGGCGAATCTGTCGCTGGAACTTTGCTGCCCTCTAGCGGGAAAATTATTAGGTGTAGGGTTTAACGGATTGCACCACAAGACTCTACGCCCCAAGTTACCCCTATATAGGGATTTTCAGCGGATTCCTAGGGGTCCGGCGAATCTGTCGCTGGAACTTTGCTGCCCTTTAGCGGGAAAAGTATTAGGTGTAGGGTTTAACGGATTGCACCACGCGACTCTACGTCACAAGTTACCCCTATGAAGGGATTTTCAGCGGAATCCTAGGGGTCCAGCGAATCTGTCGCTGGAACTTTGCTGCCCTCTAGCGGGAAAAGTATTAGGTGTAGGGTTTAACGGATTGCACCACGCGACTCTACGCCCCAAGTTACCCCTGTGTAGTGATTTTCAGCGGAATCCTAGGGGTCCGGCGAATCTGTCGCTGGAACTTTGCTGCCCTCTAGCGGGAAAATTATTAGGTGTAGGGTTTAACGGATTGCACCACAAGACTCTACGCCCCAAGTTACCCCTATATAGGGATTTTCAGCGGATTCCTAGGGGTCCGGCGAATCTGTCGCTGGAACTTTGCTGCCCTCTAGCGGGAAAAGTATAAGGTGTAGGGTTTAACGGATTGCACCACGCGACTCTACGCCCCAAGTTACCCCTATGTAGGGATTTTCAGCGGATTCCTAGGGGTCCGGCGAATCTGTCGCTGGAACTTTGCTGCCCTCTAGCGGGAAAAGTATTAGGTGTAGGGTTTAACGGATTGCACCACGCGACTCTACGCCCCAAGTTACCCCTATATAGGGATTTTCAGCGGATTCCTAGGGGTCCGGCGAATCTGTCGCTGGAAGTTTGCTTCCCTCTAGCGGGAAACGTATTAGGTGTAGGGTTTAACGGATTGCACCACGCGACTCTACGCCCCAAGTTACCCCTATGTAGGGATTTTCAGCGGAATCCTAGGGGTCCGGCGAATCTGTCGCTGGAACTTTGCTGCCCTCTAGCGGGAAAAGTATTAGGTGTAGGGTTAAACGGATTGCACCACGCGACTCTACGCCCCAAGTTACCCCTATATAGGGATTTTCAGCGGATTCCTAGGGGTCCGGCGAATCTGTCGCTGGAACTTTGCTGCCCTCTAGCGGGAAAAGTATTAGGTGTAGGGTTTAACGGATTGCACCACGCGACTCTACGTCCCAAGTTACCCCTATGTAGGGATTTTCAGTGGAATCCTAGGGGTCCAGCGAATCTGTCGCTGGAACTTTGCTGCCCTCTAGCGGGACAAGTATTAGGTGTAGGGTTTAACGGATTGCAGCACGCGACTCTACGCCCCAAGTTACCCCTATGTAGGGATTTTCAGCGGAATCCTAGGGGTCCGGCGAATCTGTCGCTGGAACTTTGCTTCCCTCTAGCGGGAAAAGTATTAGGTGTAGGGTTTAACGGATTGCACCACGCGACTCTACGCCCCAAGTTACCCCTATATAGGGATTTTCAGCGGATTCCTAGGGGTCCGGCGAATCTGTCGCTGGAACTTTGCTGCCCTCTAGCGGGAAAAGTATTAGGTGTAGGGTTTAACGGATTGCACCACGCGACTCTACGCCCCTAGTTACCCCTATATAGGGATTTTCAGCGGATTCCGAGGGGTCCGCCGAATCTGTCGCTGGAACTTTGCTGCCCTCTAGCGGGAAAAGTATTAGGTGTAGGGTTTAACGGATTGCACCACGCGACTCTACGCCCCAAGTTACCCCTATATAGGGATTTTCAGCGGATTCCTAGGGGTCCGGCGAATCTGTCGCTGGAACTTTGCTGCCCTCTAGCGGGAAAAGTATTAGGTGTAGGGTTTAACGGATTGCACCACGCGACTCTACGCCCCTAGTTACCCCTATATAGGGATTTTCAGCGGATTCCTAGGGGTCCGCGAATCTGTCGCTGAACGTCAATGTCAATAGTTCGCTAAGTATACAGACGTCGCGCAGCGGCGAGTCTCGAGGCGAATATTAGGCTCAAAAGGCGATATAGGAACAACAGCGCCGTAATGGTCTTCAAGCTACAAAGACAAGAAAATCGAAAAATGACGTCATCAAAAGAGTCAAAAACACACGAGTTTGGAAACTCAAAATGCAAAAATAGTGTTAAAGTGACTTTGTAAATAACTATGATAAATTCTACCATTAAATTGTGTAATTTTAACTAATCAAATATTACTTAACCGAACTTAGTTTTATTGAAGCATATTTACTAGTGACGTCATTAAGTAGTTCAACATTTTACACTTGCAACTGTGACCGTAAATGAGGCGCGTAAACTTCGCCATTGTGTTATGTATGTGTAAGTAGAGAGATAGGATGGTCTCCTTCATTCATTTATTTTCGCAATATTTGGAACACTCGTGAGGAAGGTAATAAATATTTTACCTGAAGAGCAACAATAGCAAAGTGTGATCGGGCTGCTACTGTGAGAAGAGACATTGAACTGAGACCTGACCACCTGAGTGCAGGGGTAAAGATCTCGGGGGGGGGGGGGTCAGGACCCCCCCTGAAAACGAATTACTGCTATGTAACTGCATCCAGCCCGCCTCCATCTGCCCGGCCTGGACCCCCTGACATTTTGACAGATCTCCACCCTTGCCGAGTGGCCTGCCTCAGCCTGAGCAGACACCAATGACCAAGGCAGGTGACGCGCGGCGTTCCCCAATGCTAAGGTTCAGTATTAGGCCCGCTTTTATTTCTCATTGATACCAATCACATTGAGCACAAATTGAAGTCCAGCTTTAATATTCGCTGATGATCGGAAGATCTATGCCCTGATAGGAAACACTTACGCAAGGTGAATACGAAAGTGAAACACAAGTACAAACAGACATAGACACTCTTTACAACACGTCTGTCTATCTCTTGGGACTTACGAATCAATACTAACAAGTGTGCCATCGTACGATTTTCCAGGGGACAGGACACTCCACGAGTACACTACACTTGCACTGAAAATGCCTGACAGCAACACTGCAAAGAAATGTGAGAGGTTGGAAGCTCCAACATGTCTGTGGAGTCTGCCAGCGTCTGCGTCACCTTGATAGCACTCTAGGACACATTGGTTCATGTGGCAAGAGCGGATGGTGGTGGAGTTTGTGTGATGCTGACCTTGACGGCTTTACCTATGTATATGTCTAAGGTTGCATAGCACCACAGACCAATGTTACCTTCGGCCATCCATTAATTATTCCTATATTTTTTTTTCTAATAGTGCTGCCTGATACAATGTAATGGCTTGCAGTGCTGCTTTATCTTTTCCATGCATTATAGTTATTTGTTACAGAGCATACTGGGGACTTGACGCTCTACCAACTACCAAGTATTCTCCAGAGATTAACCTGGATTCAGAATGAATGGGCATGTGATTGTACCAAATCTTATTGCTGTTGACTTCTGGAAAGAAAGTGCTGCGGTAAGTGTTTTTGATTACCAATGATGTCTTTGAGTTTATTATTGCTATGTTTATGTTAGAACATTCACTATTCATACACAGGGGTAAAGTTTGTTAGTCATGAACATACCAGTTTGTGTCAGTTGTAAAGATTGATCTGTATACTTCAACTTTAGATGATCATGTTTATGAATGAATCGCTGGGTCATGTTCTTGTACCTACCTACAACCTTTTCAGACAAACTTCTTCCTCACCCACTGTCATGGGGACCATCTAAGTCCTAGATTGACAAGATGGTCGAAGAAAATCTACACCTCTAAACTTAACTGCGAGATTCTGCAGATCATATACAATGTAAGTATTTACGTCTGTGCCTCACTATCATTGCACTGTTTTCACACCCACCAGTTATGTGGTGATATTTGACTACTTTATGATAGGGGGTGGGTCTCGGCCCTCCCGGCCGGCTGACATGGCGCCCTGTTCTGTATACCGTGATACTGTGACCCCCTGAAGCACTGTAATGCGACTGTGCGCCGCTCGGCCTCCAGCTGCCGCCCAGCCTGCTGGTGGAGCTGCCGCTCGGAGAGACGACAGCCGTGGACCGGTTCCAGGTGACGGCACTGGACGCCCGCCACTGTCCGGGCAGCATCGTCCTCCTCTTCCAGGGTCAGTGGGTCTGAGAGACGCAGGTGTGCCATTCTACACTACGTGGGTCTGATGTGACAGTTGGTCGCTCTTCTGAGGTAGATACGTCGCTCTTCTGGGGTCGATACACGGTTTTTTCTAACTGAACCACAAATACGGTTAATGATACTGCGTATTATAGCTGGTCCGGCCAGTCTGTGAGGTATCAGATGCTGCTTTGCGTTTACTGGTGACCTGAGGTCTTCTTTATCCCTCTGTCCGTTTCCCTCGCCCCACTCCACGTCTTTACACCCTGGCTGGACAGGTGATTTCGGCTCCATCCTGTACACGGGCGACCTGCGGTTCTGGCCGGGCCTCCTGGACGAGCCGGCGCTCCAGTACGTGGTGTCAGGACCGGGCCTGGACAGGCTGTACCTGGACAACACCTACTGCTCGCCAGATTGTGTGTTCCCGCGGCGCGAGGAGGTGCTGGAACAGGTCATCCGCTACCTCAGGTGCGTACCCATCTCTGCACATAGTAGATGAACACATAGTAGAGTAGGGCGGCCGTGCCTCATTGAAGGCAAACTGTAGAGTATTCGTCTTGATCTACGCCTGACTTCTGTACATAGTTTGTCTCTACTTTACCGTAGCGGATTGGGAAGGGACCTGCGATTCTCGATACCTGCGATTCTCGATACCTGCGATTCTCGCTGCGTGTCTTGAGTCGGTTTTTACGAGCCGTTCGCCGGCTGCTTTATCCACCACTATAGGCAGTTACTTTGTGGCAGCGAATGGTCTACAAAAGTCATGCGTGCACCTTGCCTGGCTGTGTGCAGAGTAGGCAACGTGTAGCCAGTGGTCAGTGGTCACTGTCCCGTTACGTGCGACTCATGGCGTGCCCGATGACCCCTTGCAGGGAGTGGGACGACTGCGACATCTATATCGGCATGCGCGAGCTCGGCAAAGAGGACGCCGTGCTGGCGATCGCAGAGGCACTGCAGGTGAGCGCACTCGGGCAGGTCACCTGCTGAGTCGGGTCTGCATGTGACGCTTCAGCTCCCAATTAGTTCTGTGCTAGGCCGGTTAGCATCCCACACTGATGAGCTGATACGATTCAAAGACCTGAGGGTACAGTGTGACGTAAGGATGATTTGATTTCGGCCGATAATGATATGACTTCAGGGCGCCACAGCTTCTCTGGATTGCTATTAGCACTTGCATATATGATTTGCGGTGGTTGTGTGGCCAAAAAAAGAACAGCACAATTCGGTAATATTGCCATACTTCACTCCTCAATCACGAACTCACGAGGCATGATATAGGAGCTGGAAGACTGACGAGTTGTAGCACGTGGGAGATGCTAAAATAGCTAGGAGACAGAAGTTATGACTTATGACGCAAGAGCTCATTGATGCAGCACTTAACATGGAAACTGTAAGAATTGCATGACTCGTCTGTAAAAGTTGACAGTTGTCATATCATGACACCCTATGAGTCATTTTGGGGCTGAAACCTCCACGTTAACTCTTGACCATGTGACATCTCTATCCCACTGGCCCCCTAACCCCCGACCGCTCCCCACCAGACGGACGTGATCGTCAGCAAGTCGCGGCTGCGCCTGCTCGAGTGCTGCGCGCCATCGCCGCGCTGGACGACCGACCCGCACTCTGGCGGCCGACTGCGACTGGTGCCGTTCCGTCAGATTGCCGAGTACGGCTCGGGCAGTACGGATACGGGCCGACAGCGCGTGGCGCTGCTGCTGACGGCGCTCTATGTGGGCTCGCAGCTGCCAGCCCAGTACAGCGGCGGGCGGGTGCAGGTCAGTGCGGCAGGCAGAGGCAGAGGTGGCGCTCACAAATAGGGAAGGTGGAAGTTAGTGGTGTCTACAGTGGTGGCCCCTCTCTGGCCAAATCTTAAGGTTCTTACACTCGGGGGTAAAAGGAAAGGAAACTTAGGTAGCAAGCAATTACCATTTGGATGACGTTGATGTCGAGTGACTAAAGGAGGGAAGCATGAGCATTGAGCATGTTATCGGAGTAAAAATCCCCGGTTAAAAACTTAAAAGCATGCCCCGAGTGAGGATCGAACTCACGACCTTGAGATTATGAGACTCACGCGCTGCCTACTGCGCCATCGAGGCCTGGGAGCGGTCGGCGATCGTGAAACTTCCAATGCTGGTGTTGTGATTTAGTACGGTGCTGAGGAGTATCTTGTGACAGCGTTGAGGGGTGTCTGATAACATTACTGAGGGATGTCGTGTAACGCAGTTCCGATGGGTGTCGTATATCGCGGTACTGAGAGGTGTCATACGAGACACACACAGTGCTGAGGGTGTCATTTAGCACGGCGTTGAGGGGTGTTGTATAACTAACAGCACTGATGGGTGTCGTATAACACGTAACAAAGGGATGTCATACGACACGGTGTTGAGTTGAGGGGTATCTACCGCATCGCTGAGGGGTGTCGTGTAACAAGCCGCCGAGAGGTGTCGTATGGCACGGTGCTGTGGAGGGATGTTACATAGTACTGTGATGAGAGGCATTTTATAGTACGATGCCGAGGGGATGTCGTATAATACAGTGCTGAGGGATGTCACATTAAACACACGCAGTACTGAGGAGTGTCTTATAACACAGTAAATGGGGTATCTGATAACACAGTACTGAGGGGTATTGTATTATCGTGTTGACGGTATTTAGTGTTGTCTTATAAGTCCAGGGCTGCGGAGTCGATGGATTTTCGGCGACTCCGACTCCGACTCCGACTCCGGCTTTCAAAAACCAGCTCCGACTCCGACTCCGGGCAGAATTGTCGACTCCGACCGACTCCAACTCCCGACTCCGACTCCGCAGACCTAGCAGGGCTGCGGAGTCGACAGATTTTCGGTGACTCCGACTCCGACTCCGGCTCGGGTTTCTAAAATCGACTCCGACTCCGACTCCGGTCACAACTGTCGACTCCGACCGACTCCGACTCCGACTCCGCAGCCCTGCTTATAACACAGTATTGAGGAGTATCTGATAACACAGTAGTGAGGCGTATCTGATACCACAGTGCTGAGGGGTGTCGTATAACGCAGTGATGAGGGGCGTCGTAGAACACGGTGCTGAGGGATGAACACGCAACTGAGGGGCGTCGTATAATGCGGCGCTGATTGTTGGCACGGGTCGAGAGGTGTCTCATAATATGGTGCTGAAGGGTGTCGTATAACACGATGTATCGTATGGCGTATAACACGTCGGCGTGGGTGTCGTATGACGATGTGTCCCTGCCCTGCAGGTGTTCCCCTACAGCGACCACTCGTCGTTCCCGGAGCTGTGTGAGCTGGTGCGCCGCGCCCGGCCGCGCCGCGTGCTGCCGCTCGTCAACCGGTGGGCGGCGCGCGGCGGCCACACGCACCGCGACCACTCGGCGCGCGCCAACATGGCCGTGTTCCGCACCTACCTGCGCCTCGACAGTCCACCGCCGCCGCTGGTGCCGCCGGCAGACGGAGCGGCAGGGCCGACTGACGGAGCGGCAGGGCCGAGTGACGGAGCGGCAGAGCCCCAGAAGGTAGCCCCGCCAGGTGACGCAGCGACAGATCCTCAAGAGGTCGTCCCGCCGGCTGAAGGACCGACAGGGCCGACAGATGAAGCGACGGAACCCCAGAAGGTAGCCCCGCCAGCTGACGGGCCTGCGGAGTCCCGACCCCCGTCTAAAGGAGCAAAGGAACACCAGCAGGAGACTGAGACGGAGGGACGGAAGCGGCCAGCGAGGCAGACGACTGGGCAGAAGACAAAGAGGCGCAGCCGATCGGCCAGGAGGTCGAAGAAACCGGCGGGGAAGACAGAGTCGGAGGCGGTGGGCGCGGAGTCTGAGTCAGCGGGTGTGGAGTCCGAGTCAGTGGGTGCGGAGTCGCAGGCGGCGGGTGCGGAGTCTGATTCAGTGGGTGTCGAGTCGCAGGCGGTGGGTGCGGAGTCTGAGTCAGTGGCCGCAGAGTCCGAGTCGGTGGGTGCCGAGTCGCAGGCGAGGGATGCGGGGTCGAAGGCGTGGTCCGGTAGGCAGTGTGGCGGCCGGCGGCCATGTCCGTTTTTGTTGGTGGGCGGCCGGCTGGTGCGCATGAACCGGGTGCTCTGCACCCCGGACGAGGTGAAGGAGTGGCTGACGTCGTGCGGCGGCCCGGTCGAAGCCCCAGAACGGTGATTACCAACCGTGGCTGATGTCGGTTCAGCCGCTGTGGCCCAGATGTCTTTCAGACAGTGGCTGGGCATCCCAGCTCAATCATCATTCAATCATCAAAGCTATCGTTTCATCGTTTCAACGTAGTCGTGCGAGTGGGATATGCTTGCTTTATTTGCTAGTGTGCATGCTGGCATAGAAGAACTCCATATGTTCAAGTGTTTATTTTATTAGTTTTCAAGTTTTATGCATGCAGATTGCAGAGTACCGGATGTAGTAAACGTTTGTTATGTTACGTGTTGCGTTTTGCGAATGCAGAATACAGTCTATACCGAAATCACGGTCTGTCAATACATCTAATCAAATAATTATTCTAGCACGGAAAATCTTTGTGTTTGTAAGTATGTGTGATCTTTTATATCAATCTTTGTATTTTATAGTCACTTTGGCAGATTGCCCGTGTAATTTTCAGGTTCTGAACGACGAGCCCATCAATCAATCGATAATGGACTTAGGCCATGCTCAAATAAGCAACGCTCTACGCAGTAATGCAGCAATGCTCCAAAGTCCAAACAACAATGAGCTACATTTTTAGATGTCATTATGTGCGCTCCTGTTGCTTGTAAATTTGCAAATGAAGAAAGCTGTCGAAAAGAAAAAAGGTATGGTCTTACGAAACCGGAAATCACGGTCCGAGTAATGCGAGAGCTACAATGATGTGTTGTTTGTGTGAGCGCTATGACTATTCAGCATTTATCATCGCATAAAACAAGAAGCGTCCGTCTAGCGGCGTTTCTGGCCTTACCTGCTGGCCGAACATTCGACCGAACATTTTGTCACGGTGTACAGGTGATGTTTTCAAGTATCATGAGACGACGTCGTGCGATGTGCAGTGGCTCTGTGACCTTGGGTAAGCTAATACCGTTTGAGCGGACGGTGTCAGGCAGGCGATGACCGCCGACAGTCGCGTCATTGTTTCTCGTGAGAAGCCACGGGAAGTCAGACGGCCGATTTTCGCGGGCTTCTGGTCAGTTTAGACAGAGCGACGCAGCAGTGTTCCACTAATAACAGTGGGAAAATTCAGGATTTCGAATCATTTAAATAGGATGTGGTAGGAGCACACATTCGCCAATTGGATTCATTTGAGCTATTGACTATTGTCTAGTCATCTTACCAACATTCAGATTCACTCGTCGGATCTATCGGTTTTCTTCACCTATCTACCGAGGAGGGGAGGCCTGATATACCTGACCTGACGACTCCTGACTGGACCTGATGACCTCTGACCTGACGTCCCTGGCCTGACCTGATGACCCCTGACCTGACCTGACCGGGCCGGCGTTGGTGCGGCTGTGACAAGGACCGCTCATTACGGGGATCGATGGCGGAGCGGCGGGCGGCGGCGGCGGCGGCGGCGGCGCTCGGTGCGCGGTGCATGCGGCTGCCGGTCGATAGCGGGCCTGCGCGGCCGGCCGGCCGCCGCCGCCAGACCGGGCCGGCACCGCCGCCGCGAGCGCACGTCGCCGTGTCGCCGGTGGCCGTCGGACTCGCAGCGGCCGCCGGCCGTGCCCCTGGCCATGTTCTGATCGCGCCCGCAGCCGGCGGCCGGGCGCAGCGCGCGGCAGGATGGCGGCCCCGGCCGAGCCGGACCTGTCGCACCTCACTGAGGACGAGCGGCGCATCATCGAGATGGTGATGGAGCGCCAGCGCCGCGAGGAGGACAAGGAGAACGAGGTGGTCAGGTGAGTGCCGCCGCCGGCCGACCTTCCCCTGCTGTCCCCTGGTCCGGTGGTCCCCCGTGATCAGTTGGTCCCTCGCCGTGTTACCCAGCCGCCGCCCGGCCGGACCTGCGGCCTGCCGCCGGCTCTGGTCGATCGTTCCGGGTGTGTTGCGCCGCCGGAGCCGGCTCCCGGGAGGCCGGCTGCGAGCTGTCCCCAGCGGGCTGTGTTGCCGAGGGCTCCCCGGTCCCGGGGCGTGTGTGGGCTGAGGTCCGGTCCGCCAGTCGGTCCGGACCGTCCTCAGGTGGTGAGCGGGCCGGGCGGAGCGTCCAGACTCCAGTGCGCAGCCCGTCCGCCAGCCGCCCACGCGTCAGCGGCCGCCGTGATGGCGGCGCAGCCCCGCCACCGCCGCTCTCTCCCGACTCCACATCTCTTTCTTTCCGCTCCATCCGAGCTATGTCTCCACAGGGCGTCCCTTATGTAACTCCAAACGACGTTTCGAGGGCCGTTCCAACCGGTCAGTTTGAAGCCTCTCCTCCGCGATCCTTTCCATGCCGACACTCGTCCGGTTGGCTTCGAGGGAATCCGTCAGAACGTTCGCGAACCTCACGTTCGCCGTCGGGTCGAGGTGGGTCTATTCTCGCCGGTTGGCTCCGGTAGTCACCGCTCGCCGGTCGGTCGCAGGGACTTGTCTCGGGCACGTTCGCTCGATGGACATCGACCACACCCGAGAGCTCGTCAGCTCGGTGGGCGGTCAGCGCTGTCGTCCTGGGCCGGCCATCTCTCTCAGCCGACTGACTCATCGCCATTACGACCTCGCTAAGAATTGCTCACATGCTAGCTAATTCACATTACTCTCCTCATTTTCTCTCCCTCGCGCTTTCCTGTCTTCAACAGGTGGCATGATATGACTTGTCGAATACCTAATCTTAACGATGCCTTCGTTAACACGTTTTTCTTTGCGCGTTTCCTTCTGGATCTCAGATCCGCTCTCCTCCTCCCGGGCTGGAAGGGGTCAGGGAGGGGCAGTCGAGGAGTTGTTCAGGTTTACCCGAGTACCCACGAACCCCGGCTGAGCTCGGGGTCGGCGAGTGCGCTCCGACTGCCACCCCGGCGCGGCGCTGGGGTCGGCTGACGTCCCGCGGGACGGTGTTAGATCGGAACAGACGGAGCCCCAGTCTGCGCACTCCGAGTCTGCCCAGAGAGCAAACCCAACACTCAACTGCTGCACCGGCTCATGCTTGATATGTGAACCGTGGCAGAGCGGGAAGCCGGGAAGCCTTATGGTTAATGTCGCAGAAGAGGGTTAAGTGGCAGGTAACAGGCTAATTCACTCGGTTCACAGCTGAAACGCATCTGTTGCTGGATGGTCAAGACCCATATCCCGATGGTGACTGTGGTTAACGTGTGGAACTTATGACTCGGCACTAGTCATGGAATATGTCGACTGCAGTCCCATTTGGCTGGTGACTGGTGCTTCGCAGCGAGTTAACGTCTTTGGTAACCTGTCAGATCGCAATCCTGCAAGAGCATGGTCCTTGGAAAAGTTGGGCGGTCTGTTTTTACATTTTTGATAGCTAAACTTAACCCGGTAGGCGGTGGGCCTCCCGGCATATACCTAAGGGGAGAGTGGGGTAATTTGGCCGGTGGTGTAAATTGGCCGCCCCCACCTGTACGAAAGCTGATAAAAGTGAATGAAATAACTTTAGTCTCTATTCATTTGTCATCGGCAGAACTAACTCGAGAACAAATGTCAAAACTTTCCCCCTCTTAGTTTTATTCAAAATTATTAAAACGTGAATTTCGTTAGAAAATGGTAACTTTCACTTCCGTTTAAAAATTTGTATAACATGTAGTATTTGGGCTGTAAACGAATTCCAACATTATAGCGCCATTCTTGAGCGTGTTCAGCGGTTCCAAGAGCAATTTCATCTAGTTCTGTACAGCCATGACGACTTTATAGACAAAAATTTTCAGAATGGCAATGTGGGGTTATTTGGCCGGGACTAGCGGGGCAACTTGGCCGGTGCGCTCAGAGTCACTATGCTGGGACGGCCGAGTTGTCATGGTCAATTATACCATAAAGGACATAATTAATGACCAACTTTGACTACCTTGATGCCATATTTCCTATTGGACAGCTGTAAGGGCATGTGACGTCATCAAAGTTTACCTAACGCTTTTTTGCTAATAAATACTTACAGAAAAAAGATACAGCCGCGCAAATGGTCTCATTGTGTTCAGCTCGTCAAGGCGCATCGAATGATATACATGATGACCTTGAACTCAAGCAACTTTGAGGTCAAGCGACCTGAGGTAACGTGACCTGAAGCAAACCTTTGACCTTGACCTCTCGAGGTCAACACATACATGTTTCGATGCGGAATGACGAGAAAATTACGATGGTACTTTTAGTTTTGGCCTAGCTTGATTACTTCAAAAGCTATTCGTAAAAAACTGTCATCGCATCTAGAGCCGCTATTTTGACTATTTTCGACCCCTGTGACGGCTGAGTCAACCTCCAAAATGCTTCAAATGCGTCGTAGGACACGCGTCATTGCTGAATGTGAAGCTGACTCGCCTATAACAAAAATCATGGCCTCAAACTAACACCGGCCAAATTGCCCCACACCCCCGGCCAAATAACCCTGCTAGTGGGGCAATTTGGCCGCTTTGCAGACCTTTGTAATACGTCACAATTTCAATATAAGTAGTTACTCATCATTTCAAGTTTACTGTCCACGAAAGTAAAATGTATGCCACACCTGTCAGCGTTGAGAAAATGCAGAAATGTGTTGTCGATTTTTAGTGACATCGTTTTCTAAAAAAAGCGGCCAAATTACCCCACTCTCCCCTACCCTGCTCCCGGCCACCTTCCGCGCGGTGGGGGACATTTTTTCCCCCACCCTCGTATCTCCGAAACTACTTGACGGATCCGTAAAATTCAAACGGTGCTCGATAGCCCTGTCAAATATGTCGAAGGAAACCAAATTTCATTGACCTCTGGGTCACCGATGACGTCATAGGTCAGTTCAAAGATAAAATGTTACACCGTTCACGGGTCTTCTAGGGAATGCGCTATAACAATGAGGAAAACGTATTTTGTCGAAAATCAGTGATAGGGCGTCAGTTGCCTAGTACATATGTTGCTATTAGAGGTCACTGACAATACCAGGTCAGGTCACAGGTCAGGTCACCAAGGGTCACCACATGAACCCAACTTTACTAAGGTTGTGCGATGCATGTTTTAACTTTTATGGCCAATTTTTCATTTTCAACTCAATGGTGTTGGTTATAAGACCATCAGGTAGGGGAAGCCGGGGGAACCCCGGGCACGGGGGAAGCCCGGCCACCCCGTTTGCGGCTAAATTATTCATAATAAAATGCTAAAATGTTTGTCCTTTCAGCGTGGCAGCTGAGGTAACGCCAGTGTAAAAGTTAACACTAGCAAAAATTGTATATTGCTAAAGTTATAGAGCAAAAATGATATTTCAAGGGTTTTTAGCTAAAAACTGAGATAGGTATGTTGCACTGTTCATGTTATAACATACAACCCTAATATTTATACGAATGTTATGAAAGGATCGTTTAACCCTCGCCCTGGCAGGGCATTTTTCATAACACGGCCTGGCAGGGGGGGGGGGTCGATGCGACCCCCCCCCCCCTCGCGATTGGCTCCTATGGCACCTAGAAACACCAAATTTGGTAGGTAGGTGGGCCCCCTGGAGTTCTCACCCCTGTGCAAATTTGGTTTTTCTAGGTCAATATTTAGGGGGGTTTTGGGGGGTATAAATGTAAAAATTTCGCTAAAAACGGGTCAAAAGTTTTTCGCTTATAACTTTTAATCTAATTAAGATAGAGCAAAAAGAAAAGCACCACTGAACTCAGCACGTCAAGGCGCGTCGAATGATATACTTTTTAGCTTGCTTAAGTGTACTTAAAGTTTTTCTTAAATTTTAAGTAAACTTAAAATTATAAATTAAGTTCAAGTTAACCAAATTGCATCATATCGCATATCATTCGATTCGGCTGATCACCAGGAACACAATGATACCATTTTTTAAAGCTCTAGCGTCATTATGTGCCAAGTTATTGGCAAAAACGTCATTTGACCTCAGTTGACCTCATTTGACCTGACCCATGGATAAGTAGGGGAAGGAGGGTGAATTGCGCCACCTTAAGGAAAAACGCTAATTGCAAGAAAACCGCTGGAGATATAAGCATGCACTGGTAACCATTTCAAAGAGGAGCTCATTGGCTACGATTTAAGAGCCTCCCGATCAATTAAGAATGTTTCGTTTGCTTCTGACAGCTGCTTTTTCAGAAACATGCAAAAGGGCGCATTTGCCAACAACTGCTGCAAATTGCGCCAGGGGGATGGCGCAATTAGAACCCAATTGCGCCCTATACTTTAACATGGCTAAGTGAATGAGACGGAATGCATACACCCCGGCAGTCTAATGTCATTGCGGCTTACTTAAACATTTATAATGTTATTAAGGCTGGATGAATAATAAATGTAGATATAAATCGCGATGTTTTTTTGCCCAGGTAGATAACTTTACATGTGTCCGTACGCTTGTTAAAGTGCAACGAAAACGTTTACTGTAACCGACTAGATATATGTGAACGTATGCGCCTATACAGTTAACTTTTTCAATCGGTTCTTTCAAAATTAATAATTTTTATCGTTTTGACAACTAAATGACACCAGTTTTTACTTTTTTATCATAGCTGTCACTTCTCACGCCTGAGTCCATGTTGAAAATGTCGTATTTTGTCAATTACACCACAAGTCGTGGCCTAAATGGCAGCTGTATTATAAATTTGACGAGAGAAATAATTTGCGGACTAACGACAGCGGGCTGCTCCCTTGCCTGACATTAAACTCCTTCTTTATTGCAATCAGTTAATGATGTATTCATACTGTCGTGATACAATGGCTACACCATTATTCTATTTGCGCCCCCCTGGCGCAATTGCCATGGGCGCAATTAAAATTGAGGCACTTTTTAATAAAAGCA